TTTTCTGCATCAATTGATATGATCATGTGTGAACCACCAAACTTTTGGCTAGCAGTTGAGCACTTAACTGCTTGCACTACCCAGGGACTCGTAGAAAGCAGTTACCAATGTGTAATTATTGAGGAGGAAAAGAAAAATCTAAACAAGCCATTTTAGCACAACCTTCATATAGTCAATAACACAGCCTTTTTACTTCACTCAAAGTTTCAAAAGCCCAGAGAGACATTTAGAATTATTGTCATGATACTCACCATGAAACAACATGCGCTCATTGTGATGGTTATGATTCTCCTCAGACACTTCCTTTTGTCTGTGACAGAATCGCTCCCTCAACTTCTTATTGACAACTTTTTGAATCTATGAGGATGAGGCAGAAAGAAGCCAGTTATCCGTGAATGTATGCTAATTAGCAGTCTATGATCCAAAAATGAAAAAAGAATGTTTTTTAGTATGGTTCACTTTTTGTTTGCTTAAATTTACTTTCTAATTTAATAGTTTAAAAATGATAAGGTTGTCAATTCATTGGCAGATTTGATTATAATTTTCAGGAAATGCTTATAATCAAATTTCACCCTGAAATTTTTTAAACTTACTCGAATAACATTGTATCTGTTGAAGATCCCTCCAGCATTACCACCATCTCTGTGTTCTCGAATTGTACTTTGCATCTAGGGGACAAAATAATTCACACTTTATGGAAATACTCTAATATTATTCTAAAGACAACCCTTCTATTGTTTTCAAAAGATCAATTTTATTAAACTCTTTCACAGATGAGTCTAAGACCAATAAGTAAATAAATGGCTAGTATAAATTGATCTACAAGGTTAGTGGATAAGTATTTCTGGTGAGGAAATAGTCACAGAAATAAATATTAAACTTTATTTTCTATATATTTTTAATAAAATCTTTAGAAGATTTTTTTCTTTACACACAATGGGGAGATAAATTCGTAAAATATCACATTAAATCATCCGCATTACTATTTCATGTCATTGAGACAGATAAACAACACTGTGATTAGATCAAATTAAAACTCCTGCACTCAATTAATCATTAGATAAATGGTAAAAATAAATGCAAAGAATTTTAAAAAATATCATTATTCTTTTTTACCTAGGTGAAATTGATTACCTCAATGACCTCTCATATGAGATCTCAAAGTACACCTACACTGACCAGGGGAAGCTGAAAAAAATCAAGGTACAAGTAAGTCGAATAACGTTCTCCTGACTACTACTAATTTTCTTTCCACTCCTCCAATTATGACTAATTACTGTGGAATAGAATGGCATAGTGCATAAGGCATCTGACTACAAACCAGAAGCTCGTGTATCAAACCCACCAGCTACTCCCTGGAAGGAAGGTTGGGCAATTTACTCCCATAGTGATACCACCTTGGAAACCCAAGGAGGAGTTGCTATGAGTCCGATGTGACTCGATGGCAGTAGGGTTAAACTTCTCACAGAATTGATTCAGAGTTAATTCTGTTTCACTGTCTCTTTTTGAAGTTATTCACCATTTTTGGCATTATCATCAGAATTTACAACTACTAGGAGAGTAATTACACAATAAGACATTAGAAGACATGATGATTTCTGATAAACCAACTACGTATGAGCTGAAATACCATCCTGACGTAATGATCCTGAGTTTCCTAATGTGATTTCCTAGCCTAGGAATAATATGTACACAAATTAAAAAGAAAAAAACACAAACGTAGGCATCCCTTTCTCTGTTTAGGTATGAACATTTATTATGGAATTAGGCAGCATACTTATTATGTTAATAGAATTAGGCACTTTGTTTATTGTGGTTAAAAAGTAAGGCCAATATGCCAACAGTAGGGAGAATTTTTACGGCATCTGTCTACCACGAGGTTCACTCAAAGAGCCTTACCATGGAGTTTTAAAATAACCATGACTAAAAAATAAAATATGATTCAGACTTTTGGGGTAGATTTCATAAGCATATATGAAAGTCAGGCATTATTAGCCTCTAATCACACTATAACTTTGTATAAAAATAAAGATCAGGAGGTATTTGTTATCTATGAGGCAAGTTTCTTACCCCATTCTTAGGCAGCACTCCAGCAATATAAAAAAAACGGTTATAATAGGGTCCTCACTTGCATGAGTTTCAAGAAAGTCTCTAAGACAGAAAGACATTTCTGCCCCATCCACTTGAAACTCTAGGCTTAAGATACAAAAGCAATGTGGCAAAGTTCTAATCTAGAGTCCTATTTTAATTTTGGCAATATTCCACCACAATGGCTAATGGAGATAGGATAAATAGATAAGCAAGTGACCATAAGACGACCTTACCTCTCCTGGAAAAATAGATCAAATACAGATTTCAGGAAAAGAAATTTAAAAATCTTAAAGTACTTTACCTCCTCTTCTACTGATTGATATTCTTTATCTTCTGGTGCAAGATCCAACAAAATAGTTCCCTGATTGACACAGTGAAAAGTCAAATAAGGATTGGTGCCTATAGGAGAGAAAAATGAACATATCAAATAAAAGCACACTATTCAGGTTCTATTTTAGGGAAAATTTCATTTTATATAGTTGATATGCTAGAGCAAGCCTAAATTATTTGCAATGTGAACCTAACATATAAGGTTATATTTAAACAAATATATTTGAAGACCAGAAGAAATGTAAATGTGTTGGGGATCAATTTTATCCCTTCTTGCAGAGTTCCTTGTACAGCAGGGTAAGTATTGAATAGAACGCAATCATAACATGTATGAGGTTGTGTTTTGTATCACTGATACAAGAGTGAAACAGACACTGAAATAACAATGTAATTGGGACTAAGAGTTAAGAATTATTCTCTAAAAACTCTGTTGGATAGCTTAAAACGGTCACTTATAATGTTGTTGCTAAGTGCTGCTGAGTTGGCTCTGATTCATAGCAACCCTGTGTATTAACAGAATGAAACTGCTCCGTTCTGCACCACGCTCATAATCCTTGCTATGCTTCAGCCCATCATTGGAGCCACTGTTATCAATTCATCTCATTGAGAGTCCTTCCCTTCTTCACTGACTCTCTACTTTAACAAGCTAGATATCCAAAGACCAGTCCCTTCTGATGACATGACCAAAGTATAAGAGAGGAAGTCTGGGCATTTTTGTTTCTGAGGAGCATTCAGGATGTACTTCCTCCAAGACAGATTTGTTTGTTATTCTAGCAGTCCATTGTACATTCAGTATTCTTAACCAACACCATAATTTGAAGCCATCAATTCTTCTTTGGTCTTCCTTATTCACTGTCGAGCTCTCACATGCATATGAGGCAACTGAAAATACCATGGCTTGGGGCAGGCACACCTTAAGTCTTCAAAACGACATCTTTGCTATTTAACACTTTAAAAAGGTCTTTTGCAGCAGATTTGCCCAGTGAAAGATGATGTCTGATTTCCTGACTGCTGCTTCCATGGGTGTTGACTGTGGATCCAAGTAAAATGAAATCCCTGACAATTTCAATCTTTTCCCTATTTATCATGATGTTGCTTATTGGTCCAGTTGTGAGGATTTTTTTTTTTTTTTTAATTTTGAGGTACAATCCATACTGAAGACTGTAGACTTTGATCTTCATCAGTAAGTGCTTCAGGTCATCTTCATCTGCATATCATAGGTTTTTAAAGGTTCTTCCTCCAGTCCTGATGTCGCTTTCTTCTTCATATAGTCAGCTTCTTGGATTATTTGCTCAGCATACAGATTGAATAAGTATGGTGAAAGGATACAACCCTATACACCCCCTTCCTGATTTTAAAGTGTGCAGTATGCCCTGGTTCTGTTTGAAAGACAGCCTCTTGGTCTGTGCACAGGTTTCTCATAAGAACAATTAAGTGTTTTGTAATTCCATTATTTGCAATGTTATCTACAGCTTGTTATGAGCCACATAGTTAAATTTCTTTGCATAGTCAATAAAACACAGGTAAACTGTTTGCTTTAAGCCAAGATTCATCTCACATCAGCAATGATATCCCTTGTTCCATGCCCTCTTCTGAATGTGGCTTGAATTTCTGG